AGCATCACCTTCCTCGTTCTTTGACTATTTGCAGCAGTCTATATTGTACTCCATAAATTAACCAGGTAATTTCAATTTCTCATGTTGTTGGAATAAGAGTGATATCTGATGAAGTTATTGAAGTCATTTTTGAAATTTGTGTGAATGTATGCATTCTCTCTATATAGTGAGACTGAAATTAAGCATGATTCAGTAATTTGCCATATATTTATTAAATCATGCTGCTAACTGAAAGTTCTAGTGGTTGTTACCTTGGTCAAGGGTGAGACTTAAATCAATGTATTTATTTAATAGTTAATGTCTATTTTGTGTTCTTGATAACATGTCTATTACAATAATGTATTATGTATTGCGGTTGATGATTAAATTGTTTATACTTCTTTCATTTTTTGCCAGCACCATCACTTTCACTTCCCTCTGTTGAGACATCGTCCCCAGGGAATGACAACAGAGTGTTAATATGCTCAAATAGAAAAGAGTAATTTCTAAACTACACACATCTTTTAATTTATTTTGTCTTTATTACAATGTTCATAAAACAACTCTTTAACTTGTATATTTTTTTTTTCATATAGATTGACTTCATATGACACTTCTAAAGCAATTTCAGCCATCACCAAATCTAAGAGAAGCCTTGGATCAGATGGAATCAAATCCGAAAATCTGTGAGAATTTTGTGGTTAGGAGAGTTTAAGGTAAATTTATTGATTTATCAAGCTTTTTTTTTTTAATCCCCTTTAATTCAATAAGCCTGCTTGAGCATCCTGCACTATGTTCATAAATTAAAGCCCCCTATGCAGGGACTTTTTATATGGGATCCTAAGCACGATCGAGCCATGAAAAAGATACTGAAGTGCAACCAATGTGCGTCAAAAGACATTTGTAGAGGCAAGTCGGTTGGGGCATGATTACTTGAAAATGTGCTAAATACGCTTAAGAAGACTTGGGAATCGAATCCGAGTTTCATACACATGTTCGAACAGAACAGCCTACACGAGAAACTTCAAAACACTAATCACAATATGTCTTCTTTGACAATGCCTCCCACAAATCATGATAATGATTATAAGGTTGGGGAGGAATTCAGAGATGATTACGACATTTAGGAACTTTTCCTTTTATGCCTTGACATTTGTCACAAATTTTAGACATGTTATGGAAAATGATGATTTTCAGGCATAGTTTTTAAGCTTGGCCCGTAAATCGACCCGAGTAGGTCTTCGAGTCACCGGTTCAACCGTCGGTTCACTGGGTCAATTGCTGAACCGGATAATTAATTATAAAATTTTTCAAATTATATATATATATATATATATATATATAGAATTTTTTACATATAAATATACATAAATATAACAAAAATAAATATTTTGTATACAAAATTTGTACATTTAAGTGTTAATAATATTGAATCTCACAATAAATATTTACTATATCATTATATAAACATAATTTTTATTCAAAATTTATATTTTAGAGCTATGAGATTAAGCATAAATTCCTACGAAAATTTTCCGTTGGAATATTGCCACATTTTTTTTTTTACAAGCATAGGAAGAACCATTGGAATATTCCAATAGGTCTGGATTGGATTGGCCGTTGGAACCAATTCCAACGGCTTATTAACTATAGGAAAAAGCGATTGAATAACTGTTGGACAACATTTCAAAAGTTGAAGAATTCCAATGGATATTTTTTGTTGGAACGGCTGTTGGAATTAATTTATGTAAGAATTACTGTCGGAGTTTAGCTATTACGACGGGCCGTTTTTCTAATGGATCTTTATACGATGGAATTTCCGTTGGAATATTGCCACATAATTTTTACAAGCGTAGCAAGAACTATTGGAATATTCCAATAGGTCTATTCCATTGGATTTGCATTGGAACCAATTCCAACGGCTTATTAACCATATGAATAAGCGATGGAGTAAGTGCTGGACAACATTTCAAATGTTGAAGAATTTCAACGGATATTTTTTGTTGGAACGACTGTTGGAATTAATTTCAGTAAGAATTTTTGTCGGAGTTTAGCTATTTCGATAGTCGTTTTTCCTACGAATCTTTATACATCGGAATTTCTATTGGAATAGCTATTCCAATAGAAAATATGATGAATTCCAACAGAAAATTTAACAATTTTTTTTGTAGTGGTGGTATGATTTAGTGAAGGATTGAATTATGTTGTCGTTTAGGTAAAATTTGTAGTGTTTTTTCTTCTTTTTTACTTAACCAGGTCAAATAGTAGTTACCAGTTCTAGTTCTAGGTGTAGACAAATTTATAGACTATATAACAAACAGTTACTCTAATATTTCATTGCAGTAAACATTTTTTTTTTTTTTTGGAAGAAAAACTATAAAT